GACAGATTCTCGAGAAAACATTAGAATTCAATATTGAAACCCATCACCTATTCGTCGACTTCAAGGCAGCATACGACAGTGTCAAGAGAACAGTGCTATACCAATCAATGCATGAGTTTGGTATACCAGAGAAACTTATCCGACTAACGAGAATGACAATGTCTAACTTAGAAGCCACTGTTAGAATACAGGGAGAGAGTTCTAGATCCTTTGAGATAAAGGATGGACTCAGACAAGGAGATGCTCTGGCTTGCCTCCTATTTAATATTGCCTTAGAAAAGGCAGTCCGAGATACACGAATTAGGGACGGCGGTACTATTTACAATAGATCGATACAAGTCTTAGCATATGCTGATGACATTGACATAGTAGGGCGTAGCAAGCGAGATGTTGAGCAATATCTCCTAGAATTGGAAACAGCGGCGAAACAGGTCGGTCTAGTCATCAACGAAGACAAAACCAAGTACATGTTGGTTACAAAGGATCCGATAGCAAATGAGGAACGAGAAACAGTCTTTGGAAGTCATACCTTTGGACGTGTTGACAACTTCACATACCTTGGGTCGCTATTGACTGCTACCAATAAAACAAGCGAAGAAATCAAAAGACGAATAAATCTTACAAATAGGGCATACTATGGACTCCAAAAGCATTTCCACTCAAGAAACATTCAAAGAAGAACTAAAATTATTATATACAAAACATTGCTGAGGCCGGTCCTCACATATGGAGCAGAAACATGGACTCTAACGCAGAAAGATGAAAGACTTTTGGGAATATTTGAGCGTAAAATACTCCGCAAAATATTTGGAGCTGTAAACGACCAAGGGCAGTGGCGCAGAAGATATAATTTTGAATTGTATCAGCTCTTTGATGAGCCAGATGTCATAACGTTCATTAAAACACAGCGACTTAGATGGGCTGGACACATAATACGAATGCCAGAAAATACCATTGCTAAAAAGCTAACCACAGGAACACCTGTAGGAAAAAGAAGCAAAGGCCGACCGCGAATTAGGTGGTTAGATGGAGTAGAAACCGACTTACGAATATTAAAAATCAGAAGATGGCAACATGTTGCCAAAAACCGAACAGAATGGCGACGAATCTTAGAGCAGGCCAAGATCCACAGAGGATTGTCGAGCCAAAGATGATGATGATGACATCTAAATACCCACTACAATGAAAAATCGAAATTGATGTGAAAATAATAAAGAAGGAAGCAAGGTTTAGATATCTGGGAATAGATATAACTAGTTACGGAGATGTTGAAGAAGAAATACGACAACAAAGCTTAAAAGCAAGTAAACTGGCGGGATCTCTTAATGACATAATCTGAAAAAACAAATACCTACGACAATACACAAAAACAAGAATTTATAAAGCAGCAATTAGACCTATATTAACATATACGGCAGGGACAGGACCTGACACATCTAAAACGAGAGGACTACAAGAGAGATAAAATACTTCGACGAATATCAGGAAAAGTCTGTTGATTAAGGAGAGAAACAAAAACATAAAAAGAACATGCAATATAAAAAATAAATGGATGAGTGACAAAAGGAAACAGGAGTGAAATGAACACATTAGTAGTATGGCAGAGGATAGGATAGTACGAATAGCACGAGATAAGTCACCAAATGGACAAAGAAGTATTGGCAGACCAACAAATAGATAGTGCGATAATTTAAACAATTTAGGAGGCTAATATAGAAAAAGAAACAGGCTTCAAAACCTACATACAAGAAGAAAGAAGAAGAAGAAGAAAACTATAAATATAGATGTACCATTTAAAAAAATTTGCCCTTGCATTTTTTTAGAGTAACTGCGAACCCGGTATACATCTAATTTAGTTACACAGATACATTGATTTATTTAAAAATATATATTAAAACTTTTTTGGTAAACCAATCAGGAAAGGAAATATTATCAAGTACCTTACTTTTTTTACACATTGTAGAATATCCCATACTAATACAACTAATTTACTATTTAATACTGACTTTTACGTATTGGGTAGATATACTACATATATTCGTTGCGGTTATTTCTACCGTTTTTTTATTCATCTAAATCTAAATACAAGCAGCATAATGGCAGAATAGGAAAAGATCCAACTCTGGATCCGAACACTACATGGTAGCAGCGATATTAATATCTGTTTCCATCGCAAAGGAAAAACATAACTACTTTCAATCAGTTACCTCCTAGTGATAACCAGCCACGTGTACTAGATCAAAATAACTATAAAATATAAAAGCTCGTTATAGGAAAGGAAGACTATTTATAAAATATATGTTTCCATATTTACTTTAAATTGAATGTGGTGCTCAGTATGTTTTGTGCACTGAAATTATTTTGAAGCTGATTTTCTTATTTACTTTCTTCTAAATTTGGTAGTGCTAACTCTCCATTCCTATGACATAGAAACTTTAGAATAATATTGTTATCTGTTGCGCCAAACATTCTTTCCTGTACTTCTGAAATTTATTTTGAATTCCGTTTTCTCTGAGATTTTTCCTATTTTTAACTTCTGTGCATGCAAACTACATGCTTTTATCTCGAACGATCGTCTATGACAGTTAGGTCAGTAAGTAGCCCCATTATTTTTTAAATCTGACCATATGTTATCTCTGTATCGCATTTGTGGACCTCCTAAAGGCCTTCTCCCTGTCGTGGCATTCTCCCAGATGAACTTTTTAAGACGATTATTAGAGAGTCTGAAGACATGTCCAGCCCATCTTAGACGTTGGCATTTAATATCTCAAGACTATATCGCTAGCCCGATACAACCATTTGACCTCGGAATTTGTTCTCACTCGGTATTGGTTACTATTCGGGCCGTGATAAGATCCAAAGATTCTTCTAAGAGTTTTTTTCCATTGATTTTGTGAGAGTCAATATCTCACACCCATATACGAGCACCGGGCTTTTCGCTTTTATCTCTTCCGTGATATCGTTATCTGCTGTGATTGGCAAACCAAGATATTCAAAACTTTGCAATCCCTTAAAGTGGGCTACATCCTATGCACTTATATTACGAATAAAAGAATAATAAACCCTATGGCGATTGTATTTTTGACAACGCAACGCAGATTGGATCTCTTTACCACTTTCTGACAACCAATGCTTCTCAGTTAGGTAACCTTACAATATTATTTATGCTTCCCTGAAGCTCTGCTACTTTCCAAATTCGTAAAAGGTAGCCAACACTATCATCTTTTCAAAACCACTTACGATCCCGACCAATCTACACTAGTACAAGCTCATCTCATTATAGAAAGATTCGTAAATTTTACCAAGGGAAACGTCAAACCCCACATCCAATTTGGCATACGATAATGCCAATTCACCTCAAGCGTTGACTACGTCAAACACATTTTACAAAACCTTGATGACAAAAAATAGAACTAGACCTTATTTTCTGAGATTCTACAATAAGTGCATTTTGCTGAATTATTAAAGAAACATCATCGAAGCAGTTAAACAATTTTATACCTAGGAGCGTTCATCGAAACTGAAACTAACACAACCGCAGAGATAAACCGCAGAATTTGCACCGCCAACAGGCTCCACAATATTGACATATGTCAAATGTTTAAATTAGCTACCAGCATGGACGTATAAACACAGATGGACTTAGTTATTTACATAAAATTGTGAAGTCAAAATTATTTGAATAGGTCACATTCTCAGCACCTTCAGCTGTTGTCTCGTTTTGTTTTAAAATTTTTTATTCGCGAGTCGCTGAAAATATTACTCCGTATTTTATACTCTACAGGTGCTATCAAACCAAAATAATAATTTATTGGTTAGATTAATATATTTAATTGTAATCAAAATATAAAGTGTGCACATAGTGTGCATTATCATTTAATAATAACGTATAATTTAGATATCAATCAATTATTTTATATGTAGAAGCACTGAAAACTATTTATAAATGGCAACGGTTGTTTACATTTCTCTGTCTTATGGATCTACGTCAAACTTCAAATGCTGTTCCATGTTTGTTTACTTTTTAGTAAAAGTTGTTTTTCGATATTTTGGCTGTATTTTGAGTGATATTTGTGCAAAGTGAAATAAAATAAACGAAATATTTACATCCCGATCTCTCATTTCATTTGTAAGTACATAAAATTTACATTATTTAAGATGAGGAAATGAGGAAGCGTGTTTGTTTACATTTTAATAGGCGTACCATTGGGTATATTCATGTTCATTAATGTATTAAAATAAGATATAAGTTCATGAAATTAGTAGACATTTTTAAATTGTAAGTAGACATCATCTGATTAAAAAAGATCTATTTAGTACATTTTTAATTTAATATTTCTCATGGATGCAAATAAATTAGTGAAATGAATAAAACTCATTTATTTTTCTATGTAGGTTTCCAAATAATATTGACGATCGAACTATTTTGGTAGCAAATTTAGGAGAAAACATAAAGATTTTTTATTGTAGCATTATTTTGATACCTATTAAAAATTAACTTGAATTCAACTATATTTTATTGTATTAATTTTAAAGCAAATAAAATTGTATTTTAATTTTTCTATAAAGACGTGATTTGTTAATAGTTAAACTCTCGTTTTTTAAATTCTTTGAACGTGTTTTTATACATTATTACTACTTCCAATTTTTAAAATCTGAATAATTACCCGCGAGTAATAATTCAAGCACGCTTATGCTCATTGCGGAAGCATCACATTCTATCGAAGCTTCAAAACATTGTGTGTTAAAGGTATCTTATTGCTGTGTCCATCTATGTTTATACGTCCATGGCTACCAGCAAGTAAATTATTTACATAGCAGATGAACCTTTTTATCTATGGATGGATCCATATATAATAGTCAATATTTTTTGTTTAATATTCCCTTTTCTATAATCAAAACAATTAGTAATTCTAGTTTGGTTCAGATAAACAGTTACTATATCATTAAACAATGTGCAAAATAGAGAAAAATCATTAAAATCATTTGTTGTTACTTACATTTAACGTCCAATTGCCTTTTAGTTTCAGCGGATCCTCCAGGATATGCAGGGTGAAAAGCTACACATTTAAGGTACCTTCCATTGTCGGACGGTTGTAAAACTCTTGAAAGATTTTGAACTTTAGATTGTAAGTTCTCCTTAGCAAGGTCAATTACAGTTGGCATTTTTAGGCCCATGTCATCGATAAGTTCGTTATCTGAAAAACATAATAAATTAATAAAAACATCGACATACAATTTCTATGTATCTACTAATTTTAATAAGGTAGGGAAAAGAATAAAAAGGTGTAAATGAAGATATTATTAAATTATTTATTCATTTTTTTTTTAATTAAAATAATATACTGTCATAGTTCTTCTTCTCAGCCAAAGAGAAAAATAAAAATTAATAAATAGACTATTTAAATAAATTTTCAAGAGATCCTGGTAAACAAAATTTATGTATTAGATTAAGAGAAGATTAGATTAACATAAAGTTTTGCTTGTCAACAACTGATTTTTAAACACTCGCAAGTAAAATATATATATATATATATATATATATATATATATATATATATATATATATATATATACTGAAATTCTAAAATGTGATGAAGTAGAAATCGCACTTAAAAATTCCAAAACTGGGAAGGCAAATGGACCGGATGAGGTTCCTACCGAATTGCTAAAGCTCTTGAATGATGAATCAATAGGTATAATATTGCACTTATTTAATACAATATACAATACTGGCATTATACCTCAAGAGTGGCTGTTGTCTACATTCGTTACACTGCCAAAGAAATCTAATGCTAAAGAATGTTCAGAACATCGAACAATATCTTTAATGAGCCACCTACTAAAGATATTTCTAAACCGAGTTTATCAAAAGTTGGAGTCAGATATTAGTAATACACAGATGGGGTTCAGAAAAGGGCTTGGTGCTCGAGAAGCTCTCTTCGGTTTGAATGTTCTCACACAAAGATGCCTAGACGTTAATCAGGAGGTACATATGTGTTTTATCGTTTTTGAAAAAGCATTTGACAGAGTACGCCATGATAAGCTTAGAGAGATTCTTGAAAGGAAGGACATAGATAATAAAGATCTGCGAATAATTCTCAATCTATATTGGAATCAGAAAGCTAACATCAAAATAGAAACTGAAACATCACAAGCAATAGAAATACGTAGAGGAGTACGACAGGGTTGCATTTTGTCACCTCTGTTATTTAATGTATATAGTGAAAGCATCTGTCAGGAAGCCCTTTTACAAGCAAACGGAGGAATCGTAATTAATGGAGAGATTGTAAATAATATTCGATACGCGGACGACACTGTACTAGTTGCAAGAACATTAGAAGAATTACAAAGATTACTTACAGACATAAATATTGCTTGCAACAATTATGGTATAAATATCAATATTAAAAAAACCAAGTATATGGTCTTCAGTAAAAACATGACACAACCAGCGTATATTAGTATAAACGGCACTCAAGTTGAAAAAGTATCAAGTTACAAATACTTGGGAACTTTAATAAACGAAACTGGAGACCAAAACAGTGAAATAAAAAGACGTATCGAAATTGCCAGGGCCACCTTCATAAAGATGAGAAAATTCTTCTGCAACAGAAATATAAGCATCCCTCTACGATTAAGAATGCTGAGAGGCTATGTATTTAACACGCTATTATACGGTGTAGAGGCCTGGACTCTCAAACAGAACAACATGAAAAATATTGAAAGTTTCGAGATGTGGTGCTACCGTCGAATGCTGAAGATTAGTTGGGTTGAAAGAATAACAAACTGTGAAGTAATACGAAGAATAGGAAAAGACCCAGAGATTTTGTTAACGCTAAAGCGAAGAAAACTCGAATATTTTGGTCACCTGATGAGAGGACATAAATACGCATTACTTCAAAATATAATGCAGGGAAAAATAGAAGGAAAACGGAATCCAGGCCGTAGAAGAATGTCATGGTTGCGGAATTTGAGAGAGTTTTTTGGCTGCACGACTAATGAACTCTTTAGGTCAGCCGTAAACAAGGTCAGAATAGCCTTGATGATTTCCAATCTCCGATAGGAGTGGCACAAAAAGAAGAAGAAGTAAAATATTTTTATATAGAATTAGAAAGCCCATACTCATTATAATCTTTTCATTGTTTGTATATGACCTAGGATTAAGATATTGTATTTAACCTTTTGTTATAGGAATGAATTATGTATTAGTAACCAAAGGGAAAGCCAGTTTTAAAGCAACAATTTTAGTTTCTCAGTAAACAGTAATGGGGTTTTTTCTTAATGATTGTAAACAAAATAAAGCTTTTTGATTGGACAATGTTTTTTGTGAATGGGATATTTGACAGTCGATGTATGAGAGAGAATAAGCAGTTGTCATTTGATCATCGAAAGAAAAGGTCGCGTCTCGATAGAGAGTGTGTTCGTGAGTTTGGATACCGACATTGTGAAAGGAAGTTAGCAGAATTGTGGAAGGAGATTACAAGTCGATGAAAAGATATCCTTGGATCTAAAGTGGGCAGTTTCTGGAATACGTACGAAATAGTTTGACGGCACCAAGTTGACAGAAAGAGGTTCTTGTGTCATTGAGAAGTAGCTGAGTGTTTGGAGAATTAAATTTCAAGTGTTAATTGTTGGAGAATTGAGTCAGGTGTTTCGTACAGTCGCTGCAGGAGGATTGCAGATACGAAAAGAAGAAAGCCGAGGCGAATAGTGGCAGATCACATTGTTGTGGAGCGTGGACGATTCTGGGTATGGTCCAAATACAATCGAAGAAGTGTGAAGTTTATATAGTTCTAATTTATTTGTCTTTATTCTAATTTATTGTCTATAATCTAATTTATTAAAACTCACGATAACTAATTACGAATTTATTAAAGTCTTTATTAATCTAATTTATATTACAAATAATAATTTATGTTTCGTTACATTTAAATATCGCGGTTGCCGAGCTTCTTATGACTGGCTGTCAAATAAAAATCTTTCATTTATATACACAACTGTTTTCATCTAGAGAATTCGGCGGACTTCCTGAATAGTCTCGTATTTTGGTGAAGGCGCTCGACTCGTTTTTCAACCTCGAGACGTGGATGACTCACTAAAATTAGTGTCTAGAGATTTCTGGTAAACAACTGGTAGCTAAGCTCAGGTATATTTTGACCTACAAATTACGAAAATCAATAAAAAAGAATTAGTCATAAAATATTTACAGTTCTAGATGCCATAACATTTAAAATCGTAACATTGCCCCCCTCTTAAAAGATGGTTCCTCCTGGAACCTTGTCGGGACTGGAACTGGAACGACATGCTGATATCGGCAACTGGACCCTCTTTTACAACTTCCAGTTGTATAGAAATGACAAGGGACGGTTTTCTCTCCGCAGCAGTAACTATGCGGATTGCAACAGACTAACACCTGGACTTCGGTGTCTTTAAAGATTTCCTCCACCATGTTTCGTATAACCCTCCAATCTAATTGGCGGCACTCCAACTTTGGCATGGCTAACTTTTGCACGTCGGACTCTAGTACGTGCTCTCTCAACTGAAGTAAGGCTTCCCATACATCTCGGTAGGTAGGTTGGTCACGGGCAGTGTCTTTTGTTACCAGGTAGAAAAGGTAACGTGATGCATCTTGAAGTTTCAAGGTTTTACCAGGAGCTGGCACTTGGCATTGAAGTTCTGCAACTCGACCAAACTTCCTTCGAAAGACGGATGCCAACCCTGGTGCATCTTTGATACTGGCCGGGATGGTAAGGGCCAGTGAGTAGTCATCGGGAAGCGCGAGTAGATCTTGCCTTTCTTCAGTGGTAACACCATGTCTTGCTTTACCGGTACCTCCATAGGCACCCATGAATTCCTCAAACGTGAGGTCAGACACATCTTGGACTTGGTTTACTTCCACTTCTTCATCTACGTCGTGGTCACCCTCGAAAGACGCCAGCCGGTTATGGTGTACTATCATCGGCTTTCCTCTCGGAATCTTGCTTATTCGGTAAATAACATCATTGATCTTCTCCATAATGAGGTATGGACCTTCCCAAAACTGCTGCAATTTGGGAGAACAACCTTTTCGCTTTTTGGGGTTATAAAGCCAGACTTTATCGTTCTTCTTAAAACACCCCTTTTCGGCTTGCGTATCGTACCGTTTCTTCATTCGGTCACTAGCGATCTGGAGATGGGAACGGACCAACTCGTGTACATCGTCCATTCTTCTTCGTAATTCGATCACATAATCTTCACCTGCTACATCTTCTCCAGGTCGACACCCAAACTCTAGATCACAAGGTAGTCGCATCTCGCGTCCGAATAGGACTTTGGCTGGTGTCTGGCCTGTTGATTCATTAACAGCAGATCTGTAGGCCATTGTGAAGAACGGAGATATTGGTCCCAGTCTCGCTGATGATCGGACACCATCTTTGTCAAATACTTGCCAACTGTTCTATTCATTCGTTCTACCATACCATCCGATTGCGGATGATAAGCCGTAGTCCTTGTTTTCTTCATACCTAGTCTATCACATATTCCTTGGAATAAATCGCTTTCGAAGTTCCTGCCTTGGTCACTATGGATCTCCAAAGGCACTCCAAATCGGCTGATATATTCTTGGATCAACTTATCTGCAACGGTGGCGGTCTTCTGGTCTGGAAATGCGTAAATCTCGACCCACTTAGTGAAGTAATCCATTACTACCAACATGTACTTGCCTCCATTATCACTTTCTGGAAATGGCCCAGCAATATCCAAAGCTATTCTTTCAAACGGGCTTCCAACATTATATTGTCTCATAGGAGCTCTCCTTTTTCGATAAGGCCCGTTACTCGTAGCACAAATAGTACATTTCTTACACCAGTCTTTTACATCGTCGGAACTGTTCATCCAATAAAACCGTTCCCGAATTCGCTGAAGGGTCTTTTTCACACCAAAATGCCCTCCTGATGGACTGTCGTGTAACTGACGAAGTACTTCGGCTATTCTGCTCTTTGGAATCACCAACTGTCTTCTCTTCTCTGAACCGTCATCATTTTCCAGGACTCGTTTGAGCAAGCCATCTTCCATGATAAATGAGTCCCACTGGGCCCAATATGTCTTAACTACTGAGCCTAGGTTCGATATTTCTTGCCAAGGTGGTCGACGGTTTTCCTCTTTCCATTTTCGGATTTTCTGTATAACTGGATCTCTCTCTTGTTCTTCCCTGATC